AGAGAGAGAGAGAGAGAGAGAGAGAGAGAGAGAGAGAGAGAGAGAGAGAGAGAGAGAGAGAGAGAGAGAGAGAGACTTCTTCGTCCTCCTCCTTTGTTTATTTGTGCGTGTGTGTGTGACTTGTCATGGCTGCTGTACACAACACCAGGAAGGCCTGTCTGTCCGTTTGTCCATCATTCTGTTAGCAGGTCTGTCTGTCTTCCACGCAGTTCAGGTGTCTGTGTGAACTGTCTGTGTGAACTGTCTGTGTGAACTGTCTGTGTGACTTGTCACAATATCTGTCTGCATGTTTGTTAGTCTATATGTCTGTTTGTCACTCAGTCACCCTGTCACGTCAGTATGTCTGTCATGTCTGCCTGTTGGCCAGTCTATCTTTCTGCCTGTCTGTCCGTTTGTTCGTCAGTCTGTATGCCAGACTTGCAAACAAACTCGCGTGACAAGGTGATTGAGTGAAAGACAGACAGACATGTAAACAGGCACACAAACACGGTCAGAAGTCACATAGATAGTTCAACATCTGTCTGTCTTCCACGGACGCCAAACTGTTTGTGTGACTTGTCACCGTGTCTGTATACCTGTTTGCTTACCTGTTTATCTGCCACTCTGTGTCACGTCAGTCTTTGTGCAAGTCTGTCAAGTCTGTCTGTCAGTCAATCTGCTGCTTTCTGGTTGGCTCGTGGCCACATCGTGATGTGTCGGCCTCTGCTGTTTCTGGTTGGCCCGTGGCCACATCGTGATGTGTCGGCCTCACAAGGCATGTGGCTAGGGCACAACCACCCGGGCCCTGGGCTCAAATGCCCGGTGCAGTCGCTTCTTCTGGAAAAGCTAGGGTAGGGCTCTGGTTGTACTTCAACCAACTGCCGTGCAGCAACTATCTGAGACCCCCATTAGAAAATGTTGAGATAAGGGTCTCTCGTGAATATTCAGGCCCGCCTTCACTTAGGGCGGGCACGAGGCTTGCTGGGGGCCACAGTCAGAAGGCTCAGAAGTTCTGAGTCTTCTGATTGTGGCCCCCAACAAGGTTTGAGTCAGAACATATGCATGTTGTCAAGGGGCCCCTGAGGACACATTCCGCACATTTGTTCGAACTTCGAAGTTCCCAGTAGACTCAAGTAGTATACAAAAAAAAAAAAAAAAAAAAAAAAACCACGTACGCGTATGCTGGTTTTCAGATATGTATGCGTACGTGCGCATACGTACGCGTACGCACCGCATACGTGTATGTGGTGCTACCCAGTTTTCGAGTTTGCCTTGCAATGTTTTCTTGGAGCTCTGTTGTTTGCCGGTCTGTTGGAAATCACTTATAGTACTATAATATGATCTTTGTTAGAAAGGGTTTTCCGACACATTTTTAAGATCGCTTCACTTGCTCGGTTTTGTGCCTCGTCTCTCGAGAAAGGATTAAAGTCGCTGTTCTTTTTTTGTAAAATACAACTGTTTCACTTCCACAATTTCACTCTATACAAAATGTTGGGTTTTATTGGTTTTCTTGGGTTTTCACGAATCCTGTGTTAACAATGTAACAACATATCATGTCAATTATGTATGTTGCATGGCTTGTCTTCTTATTTGACGATGAATGAAAAGAAAACAATTGCACAACGTTATGTGTGTCATTTCTATTGCCTTCTTTCCTTCTCACATTTGCAATGTCGCATTAACATCCCTTACGTTGTCATCATCCATTGGTTCAAGCAAGCATCCCTGACCCCTTTCCATCCCCCTTACGGAATGCAAATGAAAGCGAAATAAAATGGAAGCGACAACAAACTATAGACATCATCAATATCAATGAACACAATAAGATGTTCACTTTAAGAAATGCGAACATCGATTTGCCATGTTAAAAAAAAAAAAAAAAAAAAAAAAAAAGTCCATGAAACACCCCTACGACAACCGATCTGCCACAGTGATAATCACCATCACAGCAACGTCCACTCCCATGACCGATCACCAAACCCACCCCCACCCCCCATTGCCCCCACCCCCACCCCCCCTCTCTAACGTATACCCCAAACATGTTTGAAACGAACCACCACCCCCCTCCCCCTCTATTCCATCTACCCCGTCTTCCACCTCTCCCCTGTACACCACCAAAGAGTCGTTGGCGAGAATCTGCCTTCCCGCCACTGCCACGACCATTCCACGTGTTGGCGAGCGCACGACGCCAGCTACAAAATCGGAGTGCTACCTACGGATAGAAACAAAATTGGATGATTGGACAGGGCCTCAATTTCCGGGAAAAAACAGCGACACAAGAGACACATGGCCGCAATAGGTGAACGAAATTGGAAAGTACCCCTATGCCGTACAAAACCCCATGACATATATACACCCCGACATGACGATGGGTGAGCCGTCTTCAACCAAGTGACAGCAGAGCAGCACCTCGTGAGACCGTGAGAGGAAATAACAAGCATGAGGAACACGCACATGCACGACGCAACACCCCCCCGTCCCCCATTCCATGTCACCATCTTCTACGTCAAACACGGGCGCCATAAATGCATCATCGAATGACGACCCCGCTATCCCACCCTGCGATGGCGACATCGAAGACAGGCATCATAAACACGTCATCAACCCCCCCCGCTGCCTTCGTCGTCGACTTTGTCGTCGTCTTGCTCTTTCGCGGGGCCTGTGCCCAACCAATCCAACTTCTTCGCCTCCATGGGAAAAAACAACGTGGCGTCATGTGATAACTTCACGTCAATTGAAGCCCAGTCGGGGATGTACAATGGAGGGGCTACCAAAGTCATGGGGGGTTTCACCAACTTGTCCGAGATGACGGTCGCAGCTGGCACGATATGGCGCCGCGCATCGAATGACTGATGCATGGATGCGATGAGTGTTAGCTTGACCATTAGTTGGACGAAAACCCACGCGTCGTTATGCGCGCGATAATTATCCCCACTCATTCACATTAGCCACATGGTCACCGCGAGCATGATCCTCATCACGTCGGGAACGCTCTTCAACCTTTCGTAAGACACCCGCCCGCCGTCGATCCCCTCCGCCATGCTCACGACCCTCGTGAAAGCCCCCACCAGTCGCTAGATGCTCGCCTCTTAATACGCCGCCAAGTCGTCGTTCTCGTGCCTGTCTTCGATGTCGGCGCCGACGAACCACAGTGGTAACTTCATATCCATGTCCAGCGTAATGTGGATCACCATGGGGCTTATACATATACGCCAGTCCTCCCCCATCCACATGGCGCGAGCAATATCAGTGGCCGTGTGGTTCAACGTGTACTGGTACGCAGCGTGGTACCTTGGTTGCCTGCTCGCCGACCTGAAGACCCACCCGAGACGTGACAAGTCCGCCCTGCCTAAACCACCAGCCTGCATTCACGGTTCGAAAACGAACCGTTAATTCCCCCGCGAAACGACAGGAGAGGCCAAACTTTGTCTGACTACGAAAGTAAAGAGCAGACGAAGCGTGCGACGTCGCAATCGCCTTTGGCCTCTCGACTAAAAGCAACTGTGGCTTGGAAGACCCCCTTTTCTTTTCTTCTTATTTCCCTCTTCTTTATTTATTTTTATTTCCTTTTTTTTTTTCTTTCTGTTCCCTTTTTTAGCCTCCTTAGACACTGCATCTGTCCTTTATTCCGACGACAGGGACCCAATGGGTAACTGAAGAGACCACCGCCCCCCTTCACTGCCGCTTCCACATATGCCCAGCAACAACCACTACCACAGGGCACTGCCCTCAACAGTGGTTTTATCCGGGCTAGCCCCACAGCGGAGGTACGTGAGTAGGTACGGAGTACACATGGAAGAACGACCATTTCGTCAAAATGGACATTTTTTTTTTTTTGAACGAAATTGAAAGTGAGTTTTTTGGCCGAAAACTCGTCACAATTTGTTGTTCATGAGGGTCCAGTGTTTTACAAACGCTGGACCCCCTAGCTGTACATGGACCTAGCTTGAGACCAGGCAACTCCAGGCAAGACTGCCTGGAGGTACCTGGTCTCAAGCTAGGTCCATGTACAGCCAGGGGTTCCAGCGTTTTACAAACGTCGGACCCTCAGGAAGAACAAATTTTGAAAAAAAACTCGGTTTCAATTTCGTTCAAAAAATAAAAGATGTCCATTTTGACGAAATGGCAGTTGAAGGTTACCCCGACATGGCGACTGGCATAGAGTGAAAGGACCAGGCATTCAGCACACAGCGGAGGGCCGGGACACCGCGGCCTCCAACCCGCCTTCGCGCCTTCCCCCGCGTGTGAAGCCCCCCCGCCTTGCGGCCCCACGCGACTCCTGTGCAGGAGAGCGGTTCTTGTTCCCCTGAGCGATGGCTTGCGCGATGACGCCGATGTCTACAGCCATCCTCGAGCGAGGGGTTGTTGGTGTTCGTGTGCAGAGTGCACCCTCTTGCGCGTCAGGGGAGTCAATCACACGTGGCACGGGCTCGTGTTTTTTATGTGCGACGACACGTCCCCCGCCCTCCCTGGATGTCGTCACGACGTTGACGGCGATGACATCCTCCATGATTGCGCGCCCTCCTCCGCTTTGTCTATTGCCACCCTTGTCTATGCGGAGGCCTCCACCTGACAGTGTCCGTCTGAACGACTTCCTCTTGAACGGTGCATCGTTCTCTTCGTCGAAGCCGGTTTCGTCCTGCCTCGCCATCCCCTCCTGCACCCAGTCTTCATCATTGACGTAACTTGCAAGTGAGGGGCCGCCTTGGACGGCCTTCCTCTTCTTGTTGGCCACGTGGCGGCCTTTTTTCTCCCGAACAACCGCTTTCAGTGCCAAGTTGGCGGCGGACTTCCCGCGTCCAGAACTGCGAGACCGTCGGGACAACATGGCGCACGACACACCCACTTGAAGCTTGATCACCAGCGAAGTCGAGATCTCCGCTGCGTTGGCGAAACGTGCCCTGCGCTTCGAAAGATTGTGTCCACTGCGATCACGGTTATGGCGATGATGGCGACGTTGTCGACAACGGCCCGCAACAGCGACGAAGACGATAACGGTGACGATGGGAAAGACGACGACTATGGCAATGATGGCGATGATGGCGGTGACGATGACGTTCACAGGTCCCACGGTGGATGCGGGGACGATGACGGTGGAAGCCCCCGTGTGTTGAAGAAGGCGACGACCACGATCGCGGTGACGATGGCGACGATGGCGACAAAAGCGATGATGGCGACGAAGGCGACGAAGGCGGTGAGGACGACGACGATGACGTCGGAACTCGCGTAGAAGGCGGCGTCGAGTGGGCTTCGTAGCCCACATGCAAGACAGCGAACCCACCACAAGACCAGGATCGTCGAAGAAGGCGGAGTGTGGCGTGCGGCTACCTTCGTGCAGCGGAGAAAAGTTGGCGGGGAGAGGAGGCAGGAGCACGTGAAGGCGAGACAGTGAGAACGCTGGTGTGTGTAGCGTGATGCTCGCGTTTGGAGTCCAATCGTGCATTTCGCAAGGATGTCAGCATTCTTATAAACACCCACTTGTGCGGGGTGGACGGCGACGAAGGACCACTACCCAGGACTGTTTAACGACAACTTCGTCACCCTCTCGTCGACACAATGGAGTCCTAGGGGTCATGGAGGACGGCCAAATGAAAGACCAAGGGTCGTGGGCTCGACTAGCGTGCATCCGTCACCCCGCCACCCTTCCTGAATTCTAGACACGAAAGGACCCCCCGCCCCGAAAGTCTGCCCCCATAACAGTTGCCATCTCCGTCACCCACCGAAAAAACTCCTTGCCGGCTAGGAACGTACCCAACCACGGAACTCACCTAACCCCCCAAACCCCCCAAGCCCCCAACCCCCCGGCGTCGACCTCCGACAACCGCCACCCCAGCCGGGGATCGACAACGACAATAAATAAGAAAAAAGGAAAACAACTCATTTCAAAATCTCCAGTTGGAATGACTGAACATCCACATTTGGACGACGATTTGCAATGAACACAAGCAGGGCATCTCCATCGACGACTGTGTCAAGGTATTTACGATATGAACAACATTCCATAAATGGACGACACTAAAGACAACACCTTTATTACACCTTTGCATTTCATTCAAGAAGAGGACACCAAAACGCATGCTGGAG